GGGTAGGACCTTTGCCATGCATGGTTGAATCAATCCAGGGCATCCCATAAGGTCCCCTGAATGTAAGCAGCCAGGGGGAATTCCTGAGCATCACAAGTGTGGCCCGCAAACAAAGAAAACAAAAAGAAATAGGAGCCTCTGACCCGGAACAGAAACCCCGGTCACAGGTCCTCCTCCCCTTCCCTGTTACTTTCCTCACCTCCTCACTCCCCACCACCTTGTTTGTTCACTGCTGTCTGCTGTCTGCCCATCACTCTGCAGTGTCTCTTAGAGAGTACTCTGCATGTAAATGACCTATCCCCACTCCTTACCTGTCTCTGCCATCTGATTGGTTAAATCCTATTCAGCAAGCTTTGGGGGGGGGTGGTGGTGACCTTGATTAAGGGTTCCTCCCCATTGCCTCCTCCTTAATAAGGCTAAAGTGTTAAAGTCCGTGGACTCTTTGCTACAGTCGCCCAAGCTGAACGACTGTTCTCTGGCTCCTGATCAAGTTGCTTAATGGCCATGATCCCAGAGACTGAGAAACAAATCTCGAAACCCAGTGGCTTTTGGCAGAAGTGCGTGTGAACCGTGCAGTAGGTTACTGTTGCCCGGCCACCCCAGGGGGTAAAGGATGTTGTCCCTCTGCCTGCTCCCCCTAGGCAGCTTGGTGGCTGCCGTCTTCCAGAGGCCATTGGACAGTTAGGTTTGGGCTCGCAGTGACGAGACACGTGGGTCCTCACGGGATGGGGGTGGAGCCGGCCCTTTCCTCTCCATCCCAAGGAGACCTGAGTCGCCGCCCATGAACCGCCTCTCTGGCTCCTGATCAAGCTGCTTAACAGCCACGATCCCAGAGATTCAGAAACAAATCTTGAAACCCAACAGCTTTTGGCAGAAATGTGTCCAGTCCCTCCAGTAGGTTACCGGTGCTGGGTCAACCCAGGTGGGTATAGATTTCGTGCCACCAGTGGCCACCATCCTCCAGAGGCCAGTCAGGTTTGGGCCCTCAGTGACAAGACACATGGGGCCTCACAGGATGGGGATGGAGCCTGCCCTTTCCTCCCCATCCCAATGAGACCCTGAGCTGCCGTCCACAAATGGCCTCTCTGGCTCCTCATCGAGCTGCTTAACGGCCACGATCCCAGGGACTCAGAAACAAATCTCGAAACCCAGCAGCTTTTGGCAGAAATGCGTCCGGACCACACAGTAGGTTACTGTTGTCGGACCACCCCAGGAGGGAAAGGGTGCTGTCCCTCCACCGGCTCCCCCTTGGTGGCTTGGTCCGCCAAGGCCATTGGACAGCCCGCAGTGACAAGACACACAGGACCTCATGGGATGGGGGTGGAGCCAGCCCTTTTCTCCCCACAGAGACCGTGAGTTGCGGCCCACAAATGGCCTCTCTGGCTCCTGATCAAGCTGCTTAATGGCCATGATCCCAAAGACTCAGGAACAAATCTCGGAAACTCACAGGTTTTGGCAAGAAATTCCTCTGGATTTAATTGTTAGAATTTCGGAATTTCAAAATCACGCAGCCACTACTGCACCCACGCGATCATATGTTTTTCATAACCAGCAATAGAAAACAAATTGTCTACTGTTACCTTTGCGGCAGAACTGAGTGTTGGGGTAAAATCCCAAATAATAATGGTGGTAGAAGAAGAATCTCTGGCTCCGGACACATCTCTTCGATTACACTGTTCTTCTTGCATTAACATATGCCTCAGAGACCTGAGTCCTACGCAAACAGGTTGAGAATGCTATTCTATTTGGGTCTCCCAAAGAGGAATTGAAAGAGCTATGCTAGGAGTATCACGTTTCACTCAAATGAAAGAAAGAATCTGGAGTTCCGACCTCCATAGACGATCAAGAATCAGGGACACTGTCTCATTTGCCGAGGCATCAAAAATCAGATGGGCTGGACACGTAATGAGATTTGGAGATGACCACCGGACTAGAGTCGTCACCGACTGGATTCCACAATACGTCAAAAGAACGCATGGCCGCCCACCTACCAGATGGTCAGACTTCTTCATCAAGATCCTGAATGATCGGTTTGAGGCTCTTCATGTTCCTAGAATGAACAGATGTCATTGGGCTACACTAGCACGCAACAGGAACAAATGGAGATGTTACTGGAGCCCGCTTGAGCAAGTCGATGATTAACGGGAACACAAGTGATCAATAATGATGATTGTGGTGTTAAAATGTTGAACATAATGAAAGTATAGAGAGAGTAATTTGGAAATTATCTGCCCCACATGTAGCGGGAGGGTCTGGAATGGGGGGTATACTGGGGATTTTGGTGGTGGATAGTGGGCACTGGTGAAGGTATGGGTGTTTCATTGTATGACCGAGACTTAAACCCGAAAGCTTTGTAACTGCTCTCACGGTGATTCAATAAATAAAATTATAAAAAATGGGGGAAAAAAGTAAGGTGGAGTTCATGCAGAATTCAATGAGCCTAATCAGTGGCTGAATCAATAGTAGAACTACATAAAAATAAATTAATTTAAAAAAAGACAATATCTGCAGGAGAGATAGTACAGCAGGCAGGGCGCTTGCTTTAATGCAGCCCACCAGGGTTCAATCCCGCATGACACAACATACAACAAGACATCTCCCCCCCCCACCCCTCATACCTCCAGCTCCTCCAGGAGTGATCCTGGAGCACCGAGAAGATGGGGTGAGGGAGTTGTGTGGCTCAACAACCCAACCCAACCCAACCAAACCAAAACAA